GCCAAGAGAGGAGATGTTGCCCTCTGCTATGGGGGTAGAGGAGAGGCAGACAAAGCTGGAGTAAAGGGCAGCACAGAAGGAGAGGTAGTAGGTGGGATTTGCCTCATAGAGAATGTGGTAGGGGGTGGTGGGCGATGTGATGGGGTGGGGAGAAGGATTGGGAAGCTCTAAGCTCTGGATGAGGAAGCTGTAGAGGCTGATGTGAAGTGGGGTGCAGACTGATGATTGAGCAGTGAGGAAAGCAGGAGCAGAGTGGACAACCTCATGTGTTGGGTGTGGGATGGGGATGTGGTGCAGATAGCAGAAGGGTTCAGGGATGGTGTCACTGGCCAGAGGATGCCAGATGGTGGACATGTTAACCCTCTTGTGGCTGAAGATGAGAACATCAAAGCCACTGACAAGAGGTTCAGAGGTGGGCATGGAGCTGGAGTAAGTTGGGGAGCTGTAGTAGAAGTGGAGTAGGCAGAAGACCTGGAGGGTGGAGTGTGACTCAAGTGAGGTGATGGCATTGGCAATGTTGGAGGGAGATGAGGAGATGTAGAATCCAACACCATAAGACTTCAATAGGTGAGTTGCTGCATCATCAATGTTGAGAGGAATGTCCATGCTGTGGATGGTAAAGTCATGCATGTAGATCAACACCTGTGGAAGAAAAAAACCAGTGGACAACAGGAATAAGTGAAAAACCAATGCACATCAGGAAAAGTGTCAACAAATAAAAAACCAATGCGCATCAGGAAAGCAATGCAGGCCAATAAACACACCAGCCATTCATGGAATTGCATTGGTTGGCCAAGAAGCTTGGTGAGCAGCTTAGTGAATTGGGGGAGATACTTTTTCTGGAGAGCAAGCTCTGCCTTGTGCTTGATGGTAGATGGCAACTTTTCCTCTTCAGCCTTACCCTTGCCACGTTTCTTGGTAGCTGTAAAGAACAAGCATGTGGTGAGCTTGGAACTTTACCAGCAAAATGAAAACATACTGGTTGGGGTGGTTGGAGTGGTGCCAGAAGCTTCAGTGGCAGTGGGTACTGTGGGCTGAAGTAAGATAATAGTGGTGTAAGTGAAAGTAATGGGGTGTGAATTGGAACAGGAAGGAGTTGATTTGTACCATTTTCCCCTTGGCCAACGCAGAAAGACGCTGGCGCTGTTTGCTTGTGGATGTTGAGGCAAGGGATGCCTCCTCTGCTTGAGAAGCTGTGGTGGCATGTGCAATCTCCCCTTGTAACTGGTGAGGTGTGGTCTCCTCTGCCTCATTGCTGAGAAGTTTTGACTGGAATGGGTGCTTGTGGAATGTGTTGACAACTTTGGAGGTGATGCTGTGGGGCTGCTCAATCTCAATGTTTTTACTGTGTGGTGCAATGTATTCTGCAATGCAGATCTGGTCCCAGATGTGGCGAAGCTCCTCAGGATCTTTGCAGCAGCAGTCAGCCTCTGTGGCTGCATGAATGGCCTGATGAAAGGCCTCCATCTGCCTTTTGATCATGCTCCAGTGGTTGGTGATTAGTGACCAGAAGTTCTCTGGCAAGAGGGAAGTAGTTAGACTTGTGGGGAGAAGAACAAAAGAACTAAAAAGAAAGGACATACTCTTGGAAGGGGCTTGGTGTTGATAGCACTTATAATGACAAAGCATGGCAATCATGTTGTTGGCACTCAATTCCCTGAAGGCACCAGAGTTGAGGTTGTCAAGGGAGATGAACACCTGACCCTCTGGAACAAGGCAATTGAGTTCCTTGATAAGACTGGAAAAGGGGAACAGTTAGCAAGGACTCAAAACAAAGGTGAAGAGTTAGAGTAGAAATAACATACTCCACCACTCCTGGAGCATGGAACAGGGCCCTTAAGGT